TATTGTGGGTTCACAAACGGTGTTGAGTATCACAATTTAAATATTGTATGATTGCATTGTAATGGATTTTGTTTTGCAGCTAACTTGCTTCTGAGGAAGTTAAGAGATGAAACCAAGCACAAGCCGGCTGCTTTGTCATATCAAGTATAAAAGTGATTGTATTAGCATACATATTTAATGTTTAAGAGTGTATTATTGGACTGATTTTGGCCCCAGTTTTGTTGTTTTTGGAATCTTGATACTGGGAGGGTTGTTATTTGGGTTTGGCTACTTTTGACAAGGACAAAGGCTGGCCACACGCTGAGCAGCTTGGACAGCCCAAATGCTTGTGACAAAGAGTCCCTCACCAAATAGCCCTGCGGCTGGCCGGGGAGAAAAGGAGAGCTGCTCTCCTGGAGGGGGGGGGTTAAGTGGGAGAGGGAGGTGTCTTGTGTGTGTGTGTGGGGGGGAGTGCTGTTATTCCTAAACCATCTGACGTGGGGGGGAAGGGGCACCCACTGATACTAGGTGGGGGAGACCAAAGTGAGTGGCGGAAGAACTTGAGAAGGACCACGGATACCAACAGGGCCGGAGGTGTCTTGTGGTGTGTGTGTGTGTGGGGGGGTGCTGTTTTTCCTAAACCATCTGACGTGGGGGGGGAGGGGGCACCCACTGATACTAGGTGGGGGAGACCAAAGTGAGTGGCGGAAGAACTTGAGAAGGACCACGGATACCAACAGGGCCAACGGAGCCAGGCGCGGTGAGGCAAGCAGCCCGACGGGAATCGGTTTGTGGCCTGGAAGCCTCCGTGCTTTGCTCTCGTGGCCCTTTCTTACACACCCAGGGAGGTACTGATCACCCCTTTAGGGTCAATAAGCCATTCTTCTCCAGGCCAGTTTGGCCCCCGGGGATACTGGCGCGTTGCCCTCTTCTGGGCGTGGAGCAGGGGTCACTGGGTGTGTGTGTGCGCGTGGGGGGGAGTATTGGTGAATTCCCTGCATTGTGCAGGGGGTTGGACTAGATGACCCGGGAGGTCCCTTCCAGCTCTACATTTCTGTGATTCCAAGTTCTGGGAGCCCCACCAGACCGAGGCAGCGCATACGAGTGCCCGGCCACCAACCCACCCACTGCGGGAGGGGCCCGGTCAGGACAGGAGCCGAAGCTGCTGCTCTCCCCCCTCCCCAAGAGCTGCCTGGGTGCCTGGGGCTGGCCCCTCAGAACGGCTTCCTGCCCCAAGGCCTGGCCTTCCTGTGGGCCCCCAGCTCGCCCTTCCCGCGGAGGGACCGGGGCTCCCGACCTCAGCGCCCGGCTGGCTTCTCCTCTCTTGGCAGTGCTGCAGCTCTTCTCAGAGGTGGGGGGGGGGGCTTGAGGGACCCTGAGTACAATGGGGGGGACACAAAGCCACGCTCTCTGGGGTATCCAGGGAGAGAGGATCCAATCTCTTCTTCTTCTTCCCGTGGAGGGACCGGAGCTCCCAACCTCAGCGCCCAGCTGGCTTCTCCTCTCTTGGCAGTGCTGCAGCTCTTCTCAGAGGTGGGGGGGGGCTTGAGGGACCCTGAGTACAATGGGGGGGACACAAAGCCACGCTCTCTGGGGTATCCAGGGAGGGAGGGCCCCCCACCATTGGCATGGAA